AGTAGGAGGTGCGGAGCTGCAAGGCTGGATGAAAATGAAATCTCTTTTTTTGTTCTTTTTAGGTTTTATTTATTTGTTTGACAGAGAGAGACACAGCAGGAGAGGGAACACAGGCAGGGGGAGTGGGAGAGGGAGAAGCAGGTATCCGGTGGAGCAGGGAGCCTGATGCGGGGCTTGATCCCAGGACCCTGGGATCATGACCTGAGCGAATGAGCCACCCAGGCGCCCTGAAAATGAAATCTTTTTTTTTTTTTTAAAGATTTATTTATTTATTTATTTGACAGACAGAGATCACAACCAGACAGAGAGGCAGGCAGAGAGAGAGAGAGAGGGAAGCAGGCTCCCTGCTGAGCAGAGAGCCCAATGCGGGACTCGATCCCAGGAACCTGAGATCACGACCTGAGCCGAAGGCAGCGGCTTAACCCACTGAGCCACCCAGGCGCCCTGAAAATGAAATCTTTAAGAAGTTGCAAACTTGGGCAGGTACCTCCTGAAAATCTGATCCATGAAATCTCAAGCAATTCATTTAGTTTAAAGAGGGTTCCAAACAAATTGTACTCTTGGGCCTTAGCACAAGCAAACTCAATCCTCTTTCGAAGAATACAGCTTCATGCCAAGGCTTGGGAAATCCCCACAAATAATTTTTCAAAGGCAATGAAGAGCTGTGCAAACATAACACAAAAGGAAATGAAAAAACGTGAAAAATACCATCAAAAACAACAGCAGAGGGGCACCTGGGTGGCTCAGTGGGTTAAGCCTCTGCCTTGGGCTCAGGTCGTGATCTCAGGATCCTGGGATGGAGCCCCTCATCCTGCTCTCTGCTCAGCAGGAAGCCTGCTTCTCCCTCTCTCTCTCTCTCTGCCTGCCTCTCTGCCTACTTATGATCTCTCTCTCTCTCTCTCTGTCAAGTAAATAAATAAAATCTTAAAAAAACAAAAAAAAAACCACACAAAGAACAGAGGAGACCTACAAAGTCTTCATATACTGGAATTATCAAAGACAGATTATGACCAACAGGCTTACTGTTCTTACAGGAATAAAGAGGATAGCTACAGTACGAAAAAGAAAGATAGTAAGACAATATGGTTCACAAATTTATACTAATACATTTGAAAAGTTAAACATGAAAAGTTAAAAATGGACAAACTTCTGGGAAAATGTAACTTATCAAAACTGACCTAAGGAAAAATAGACAACTTGGATAGACCTACAACCATTAAAGAAATTGAATTCATCACCAAAAATACTGTAGAAAACAAAGTAACAAAATTATCTCTTTCTCTTTTCAGATCCAGACGACATACCAATCAATCTTATACAAACACTTCCAGAGCATTAAAAGAGAGAATCTATGTGAGAAGCAATACACAATGCCTCATACTACGAAGCGAACATAACCCTGATAGCAAAATCTCATACAGGCAGTACAGAAAAGAAAATTTACAAGCTAATTTCTCCCATAAATAAAAACAAAAAAAAAAAATCCTACATAAATTATTAATAAACCAAATTTTAAAACATGAAGATACTTCACCATGACCAAGTTGCATTTATTCCAGAAATGAAAACTGCTTTAATTGTAAAATACAGTAACGTAAAGGGATGGAAATAAGACCCTTCACACCCCACCCCGTGTTTTTGTGTACAAAAACAAGAAGAAACATTTGAAAGATGAGCAAAAAACTAATAAAAGTGGTTACTAATAGTTGTTGGGGACAAAACCAGGTGAAAAAGACAAAGGTGAACTAGAGACTTCTGAGACATGTGAACATACTACTGATTTTTAAATTTAAAAAAATCAATTGACATAATTCACCACATTAACCTAGTAGAAGAATAAAATCAAATGAACACCCCGATAAATGCAGGAAAATCACCTGACAAAATTCAGTAGCCACTCAAAATTAAGAAAAACTCCCAAGCCAAGATTAAAGGGAATTTTCCTATCCTGATGAAATATATCTGTGAAAAAAAGCAAACCACTATCACACTTAAGTGTGAAATGTTGTAAATTATTCATCAGTTAAAACCAAGTCAGAATACCCACTATCACTTCTATTCAACATTATACTGGAGGTCCTATCTAAAGTAGGGCAAGAAAAAAACAACATATATAAGGATTGGAAAGAACAAAAACTGTCCCTCTCTGCAGATAATATGATCATGTATGTAGAATGAATCTACACATTAGAATATTTATGAGAATTCAGCAGACATCTTAACACAAAAATCAATACATAAAAGTTATCATTATCCTATATACAGTTAAAAAGTTTTTAATTTTTTTTACAATACTATAAAATTTTAAGTATCCAGGAATAAATTTCAAAATGATGTACAAGTTCCTTCAGGGGAAAAAAAAAAAAAGATAAAACTTTATCATGAGGCAATTTAGACCTCAATATATGAGAAGACTTTATCTTGGAATGGTATTAATTCTCTATATATTGGTTTATAAACTCAAGGCAATACAAAAAACATTCTGCAGGCTTTCTTAATACAACTTTATAGTATGCTCCTAAGAAATGTATAAGGCCAAAATTGGCTGAGACCCTCTTCTAGAAGAACAAAATAGAAGGACTTGCTCTACCAGATATTAAGACATGTTACAAAGCTATGGTAACCAAGAAAACATGTTTTTCACACAGAGATACACTAACAGATCAATGGTACAGAACAGAAGACCCAAGAAACACATTCACAGGCATATGGACACGTGCACAGCAGATCCGTGTAGAAAAGACAAGCTTTTCAATAAATGCTGCTAGGGCAATTGGCTACCTGTAAGGGGAAAAAATGAAATTGAGCCCCTATTTCCACTATGGGAAAATCAATGTTAAGTGGAACAAGACACAAAAAGCACTAACAATAAAGACAATTATTGATAAATTCTACTACATCAACATGAAGAGCTTCTACTCAAGGCACAATTAAAAAAAAAAAACAACAACAACAGACTAGAAGATATTTGCAACCCACAGAAACAACAAAGAAGTCAGAATAAACTTCTATAAGTCAATGAGAAAGGCAGACCACCTAAGAGAAAAATGAACAAAAAACCCTGAATGAGGCACTTCACAAAAGGTGAGATACAAAAGATACACAAAGTCCTGAGTAACTAGATGAATGCAAATTTAAACCACAAGAAGATATACATATCCACAAAATTGACAAAAATTTTAATTCTCGGAGCGCCTGGGTGGCTCAGTGCGTTAAAGCCTCTGCTTTTGGCTCAGGTCATGATCCCAGGGTCCTGGGATGGAGCCCCACATCGGGCTCTCTGTTCAGCAGGGAGCCTGCTTCCCCCCCTCTCTCTATGCCTGCCTCTCTGCCTACTAGTGATCTCTGTCTGTCAAATAAATACATTCTTCAAAAAAATGTTTAAAAAAAGATTTTATTTTAACTCTCCAATATCAAGCGCCGGTGATGATACAGAACAGGAACTGTCATACATTCTTCATGGCAACGCAAACTGGTACAACCACTTTGGAAAACAGTTGGCAAAATCTGGTGCTATTTAAGACATACCCAGTCTGTGACCCAGCAATCTTACTCCTAGGTTTACATTTCATTTAAATATATGAAGATGTTCACCAGGAGAAAAGAACAAGAATGCCTCTACCAATATTGTTTATAATAGGCAGAAACCTCAGAATCTGGAAATGGAATGCTCATCACTGACAGAATAGGTGATTTGTGGCATAATCATAAAATGGAACTCTACACAATGAAAATGAACAAACCACAGCTACCCACTGGATGAATCTCACAGACACAATGCTGAAAATAATGAAGCAAAACCCACAAGAACGCACAATACGACATCAACTGTGTCAAGCTCAAGTAAGTTTAGGAATGCCTACATATGCGATAAAAGTATAAAGATAAGTAAGGAAATATTACCACAGAAGTCCAGAAAATGGTTTCCTATGGGGAAGGGAAATGGTTATGATTGGAAAGAGCAGAGGTCTTCAATATTGATAGTAATATTCTATGTCTTAATCTGGGTAGAGAGTACATCAGAATTTGCTTTATAATTTTTTTGTTAGACTGTGCATATGATTTTATACACTTTGTGTGTTTTACAATAAAAAAAAATACAATCTCCTGTGTTGAGATTTTTGTTAACAAACTATTTATTATCCCAGTGCCAGTAATTGCAAGGTTGCTTAGGGAAACAAAAGTCCTCATACTATGACAACATTCACTAATGAACTGGTCACTCTGCTCCAACTTTCCTCCCTGGTTAACTCCAGCAATTTCTCTGACTACAAACATCCACACCATAAACAAAAGGCAAATCATTTGCAAATTTGTTCGCCCAAAAAATATTTAATAATGTCTACGACTTTCCAAACACTGTTCTAGGAGATCAGCAAGGTCCAAGAGAGACGAAGGTCCTGTCCTCCTGCCAAAGATGGAGGACACAGGAACTCCCATTCCCATTCTAAGTTTGTCTCCAACCTCTCATCCTCCTTTCCAAACAATTATCACACATGGAGAACCTAAAAGAAACCGGGGACACATATGACCTTAATATGGAAACCACCACCTCTTCACTACAAAGGAACCGTCTGCTTGGTTTCATCTGGCTGAAGCACAGTTTCCCATATTCTCAAGGAGGCAAAGAGACTGCCTTACCGGGTCCAGGCACTAGTCTCAACAACGGTGATGGGAATTGGCTGTGGGAATTGGCTTATGGGGTCAACACTCCCAAAGAATGCTTTAACTGGGATCCACGGACCAGAGGCTTGCAATTTTCCAGAAATCGTACACTAGGCTTCGTGTATACATATATTTTCCTCGAGTCAGAGTCCAGAACTTGCAACTGATTCTCAAAGGAGTTCAACCCAAAAGAGGGTAAGCCCTGCCTCAATTAAGTTGACTACACTAGCTTTTTAAGGTCATGGTGAAGGCAAATGTGGCCACAAGCAGGCCACGTGAGCTGAAACCCAGGTGTCCTGACCTCTAGGTCTATGTTCTGAATGCCCAATACTTACTCTTAGTTCTTCGAAGGCTTCGTCTAGGGTGGAGAGCTGGTGGCCCTGGTGAGTCCCAATGACAGGGCACAGGACACAGATGAGCTGCTTATCTTCCTGGCAATAGGTGCTCAAATCGAGCCCATGGTCCGGACACTTCCTCTTGGCCACTCTCTCCGCTTCCATTTCTATTTCTGGGTCAAACTCACTTTCTGCCTCCGTTTCTCCCTCCGCCTCGGATTCTCCTTCTTGGTTGTCTTCCTCTGCTTCGCTCTCTTGCTCGTCCTCCATCTCCTCCTCACTGTCCTCTTCACTCTCCTCATCGCTCTCGTCCTCACTCTCTTCCTCTGTCTCGCTCTCTTCTTCCGATTCACTGTCTTCCTCGGACTCGCTCTCCTCCCCCACCTCGCTCTCTAGATCCCGCTCATTCTCCACCTTGGCCCCGGCTTCTTCCTTCGCGTCACCCTGCCCCGGGGCCCCGGCGGTCCAGGCCTGGGCAGCGCCGTGGACGTACGGGGTCAGATGGTGGCTGGGGAACTTCTGCCCGTGCGCCTCGGCGTGGCGGCGGCAGTAGCAGAAGGCGCACTCTCCGCACACTTCCTCGGCCCCCGGGGCCTCGTCGGGTTCGCACTCGTCACACGTGCCGTCGTGCGGCAGCTCCTCGAAGGCCGCGCCCCCTCCCGAGGCCATGTGGCTGCGGTGACGCGGCCCAGGCCGCTGGGCCTCGGAGCTCGGCGCCGGAGCTCTTCGCGGCTTCCTCCCGACCTCCGCGCCGCCCGGGTCCCGTCCCGGGCACTGGCCGCGCCGGGTATCGGGACAGGCTTGAGGCCGTGGCGCCGCTGCCGCCGGCTCCCGCCAGACCCTGCCGGGCGGAGGAGCAAGAGGCCTTCCCGCCCGCTCGTCGGCTCAGCACCCGCTGCGCTTCCTCCGCCGGCGCGAGCACTTCCGGCGCGGCGGGCCCGCGCCCCCGTCGGCCCCCGCGCCGCGCGCCGCCTTGCTTCGCGCTGCCCGCGGCGAGATCGCCGCGCCGTTGGCCCAGCCGCCCCGGTTCCGCTTTCCCTTTCGCTGCCCGCGGCCTCCTTTCACTTCCTGAGTCACTTAAAGTGGCAAGGGCCCTTTTCCGCGTTCCGCGGCCCGGGGAGGGGGTGGCGGGGAAGGGGACGCGCGGCCCCCGCGGAAGGAGGGGGAGGATGGAGGAGGTCTCCCGCTCGCTCCCGAGGCGGGAGTCGGGCTCCGCCTCCCAGGGCCCCGGAGGTGTCCACCTGACTTCTCAAGGCTGCTAGGCAGGTGTACGCGTGCATGTTAGTCTCTGTCCCGACGGTCCGTCGCCGCCCGTCCCAGCCCCCACCGCCAGGTGTTCTGCAAGGTGCAGGGACTGGCTGTTGATTTTTTTTTTTTTTTACCAGACTGTACCTGATCTCTGGGATTTTCAGACGGCCCCGGGAAGGGTTGTGTTTGTTTTCCCAGGCTCAGGGAGTTTCAGAGTCAGGCTCTGCAAACAGACGTTTTCGATCTAAAGCAATACTACACTTTGTCTGTTTGCGAAGTCTATTTGCATTCCTGCTTCTTAGGGGCTTGGAATCTCGAGGGTGGCAACCTCTATGCCGTTTTCTGAGAGCTTGCCTTGGGTTCCTCTGAGATGTCTGGTGAAGTAGGTGGCGAGAGAGGATTTGTCCAGTGAGACTTCCAACGTGCACTCATTTTCCTTTATGTAAGGAGACAACCTACATCCAGACTGGGTTCCAAGAGAAATGAAAAGGACTGTTATTTATTAACCAACCACTGAAGCCCCAAGAATCAGGCCAGATCTTTTTGTGACGTTTTAACAGCTGGTTTTGGAAGATCCTCTCTTGAAGGCTCCCAAATCCTGGTGCCACAATTTAATTGGCTTTGTGACCATGGAGACGTTAATTGATCATTCCGTTCTCCACTTCTCAAAAAAAAAAAAATAGGTAAAATAGAAATAATGGTAATATCTACCTGATGGAGCTCCTTTGTGAATGAAATGTAAAGGTGCCTGTCTTCTGGAAGTATTCACTAGATTTTAACTACTATTATTAGAACAAATTATATGTAGTGCATATAATGACCCTTTGAAGGACTTTTTAAACACTTTTTAAAAAATGTATTTATTTAAGTAATCTCTATACCCTGAGTTGGGCTCAGACTCACCACCCTGAGATAAAGAGTTTCAGGCTTCATCTCTGAGTCAGCCAGGTGCCCCATAACATATTTTTAACACATTAGGTATTTTTGGCTGGCTGCTGGTAGTACAAACAACCCCTACATCCATCCCTTTTTTCTTTTTTTTTTTGGAGCTTTTGTTTTGTATTTAGGAGAGGAAAAGGGCATTTTGAACTTGTCCAGGTTGAGGCTGAGGTGTGGTTGAGCAGAATGGAGGGGAATGGAGTAGTGTTTGTTTTCCATTGACTTCCCTTAGGTAATTTTGAGCTAGAATTTCCATATGATTTTCACAAAAATGCCAGGGCGTGGGGTGGGGTAGAAATCATTTAAAATAATTTTCAATGTCTCCACATGTATAATGTATGCTTAATCCATGTGCAGCTTTTGTCAAGGATTTATATTTTTGAAATCTTTTGTTTTTTTAAACCTCAGAACAATTCTATAGAATATTGGGCTGTTGGGGTGGGGGGGCAGAATCAGAAGTTTTGTTTTGTTCTGATTCCATATTCATTTCTATTTTCTCCAGTTCATTTCTTTGGAAATTAATTCTATGTCTGCATTTGAAACAGGGACTGATGCACCATTTGGAAAAAAAAAAATTCAACAAATGTCAACTCAAATATCAACATTAATATACCTAGTGAATAGTGTTTCTTGCTTGGCTTTTTCCACCACCCCGAGCTTAAAAGGAAATGACAACCTATGCAAAACATAATGTTATCACATTTAGAAAATATTTTTTCAATGAAAACATTTTTTAATGTCTTAAAAGAACATTTTTGTGTCCAGGCTGTTTGGTAGGGAGAGATGGATATCTTTTTTTGGTCATATTGTTGTTGTTGTTTGTTCTTAATTTTATCTGACAGAAAGTGAAAAGATTGTACTATGCTGTTCAGTATCGAACACTTCACAATCTTTTCTTTGAACCCTCTATGGTAAGAGGAAGATGCTGATGGAACTGTTAAAAACGGACTTCATAAAATTCTGGCAATGAGGTGTGGCAGACTCAGGGAGACAGACCTTCTGTACTGCTTTGCACAGAAATCAGAATGGGTTGATTTCCCCATGAATCTTTGGTAGCATTCAGAGACAGAAACTTTGTTATATAATCTATAATTGCATAGAAAATTACCTCAAAAAGTAACAGCTTAAAACAATAAATATTAATTATCTCGCATAATTTCTGTGAGCCAGGAATATGGGAGTGGCTTAGCTAGGTGGTCTAACTCATAATCTTTTAAGAGATTTCAGTGAAGACATTACCTGGGGCTATAGTCACATAAAGGCTTAACTAGAAAAGTAAGATTTGCTTTCAAGATGGCTTACTTACATGGCTATTGTCGGGAAGGCCAACCACTTTCTATTGGGCTGCTCGAGCATCCTCATGACATGGCAACTGAATTCTTGCAAAGCTAGTGATGATCCAAGAGAGGGCAAGGTAGAAGATGCAGTGTCTTTTATGCTCTAAGCTCAGAAGTCACACATCATCAGTTCCAACATAGTCTCTCTGTTACAGAAATCAGCCCTATTCATCGTGGGAGGATACTACACAAGGGCATGAATGTCAAGAGTGGGAATCTTTGGAGCCATCTTTGATGCTGACTACCATAGTCTGCCCTTTGGCCTCTAATGATTCACATCTCTCTTATATGCAATATATGTCTACTTCCTCCCAAGAGCCCCTAAAATCTCAACCCATTACATCATCAGCTCAAAGTCCAAAATTTTATTATTTAAATCAGGTACAGCTGGGGATGAAGCTTCTTGTGTCTTAAATGCAGTTCCTAAAGTATAGGTCCTCTTCATCTGAATAATTAAGTTCCTGCATCCAGCTTACAACGTGGGGCAGGCTTAGGATAACTAGTACAGACACTCCTGTTCAAAAAGGAGAAAAGATAGGAGATGTAAAAGAGTCATTGGTCTATAGCAAGCCTGAAATCCATTTGGAAACAGGTTAGAAATTCCTTGATTGGGCTCAGTCCTACTCATGCCAGGGAATGGTTCTCCATGGCTTTTGACTTTACTCTTTGGGCTTGATTCCACTCTCTGAGTCATCCTCCCTTTTTCTATCTTCCATGTTTGCAGCTCTGTAGTTTATCAGTCTACTTCCTACCAGTAGAATTTAGGGGGTTAAAAGGTCCCTTTAGGTTTCGTACTGACTCTGTCCCCTTCAGTCCACGCTGGCAGTGCTTCTCTTAGTATGAATCTTTCCAAATATTGTGAGTCTCCTATGAAGGTAATTGAGGCACCACTCCATTCCTCAGAAGCCACACCCACAGGTCTCTCTGGATAAGCCCTTCTCTACTTTTAAAAGTCCCTCTGCAGAAGCTGCTTAGATACTACACTCATCAGCTTCTTTGAATCCCTATTGTTTGAATGATTCTCTGAATTACTGCTGTAGATCTTTTTGAGGTCCAAACAAAGGGTTTTATAGCTACACTCTCAGCTTTGTCATTTGACAGTGTGCTCCCTGCAGGATCCTAGAGTTTATTTTTGACTGGAAACCATTTCTTCATTTTAGCATTATTCCTCATCTAGAGAAGATGAGAATTTTCAAGTCTAGCAAGTTCTGGATTTTTCTTTTTAGTCCTTCTCTGGATTTTTTTTTTCTTTCTTCTCACATTTTTCTGTAATAGGGAAGAAGACATTGGTCATCAACTTCAGCACTCTACCTGGAAATCCACTTAGCTAGAACATGCAATTAATTAGACACATTTTTCTACCTTACACATTCCTACAGGTGACAGTGTTACTAAACTTCCTGCCACGACATTATAGAGACCGTTTTCCTCCTGTTTTCAATATTTCCCTTATTTTCCCTAACCCTTCATCTACAGCTTTCTCAAAAGCCATCAGGATTGTGCTCACAATTTCTTCAAGACTCCTCAGGCTTTTGCTAACACTATCCCCCAAGTCCTTCCAGCTTCTCTCCCTACCCAGTTCCAAAACCACTCCAACATTTTAAGTTTCTGTTACAGAAGCACCTGACTCTTCATAATAAAATATATATTCGTTGTAAACTTGTATATAATAAGTTACCCCAGAATTTTGAATCATCTTGGGGGCTGTCTTACTGACATTGGTGCTATCTTCTCATTATGGTTAGCAAGAGCTGGAAGGCATCTCAAAGATACTCCTCACTACTCTTGTAGAGAACAAGGCAGCTTGCGTTTGACCCTGGCCAGTGAGTATGTGTGGAACTTGTAGAAATAAATGTTGTATTTAAAAAAAAAAAAAAGAGAGAGAGAGAGAGAGAGTCTGTTAATTTATGTGGGTGATAGCTCTTCAATTATTAGACATTTTAAACTCTGTACAGATGAAGAAACCTATGTACAGAGAGGCAAAGAAACTTGTTAAATGTTATCCAGCCCAAAGATGGCCTCGTTGGGACTCAAACTCAGATCTCTCTATCTGTTCCAAAGAGATGAGCTGTGTTTAGAAGATAAATAACATAGTACATTTAATTTCAGAAAAAAACATCTAGAAGTTGGAAGAGAAAATGTGGAATTTCCAAGTTCACTGCTTCAGGGAAGGCATTTGCACTCCCTCAGCTGGTCCCATTCTTACATAATTAGACTGTCACTTTAGTGACTGGCTTTATTCCCCCCCACCACCCCCACCCCAAGCCCTGAGATCACCTCAATCTCATCT